TGCTATGAATCTCTGGTTTGGCTTCAGCCCTTTTTGCTCTTAACTTTGATTTAGATATGGTATTTATCTGAACTTTTTTTCTTATTTCCTGAAACGATAGTAAATTCTTTTATTAAAATAACCACTAGGTATTGTTATGTCCTCCTTGTTCTAAGTCATGACCAGATTTCTCGGTTGAGCTTGATTCAAGCTTTCAGAATCAGTTCACGTTAGAATGCCAAGGCTTGCCCATGTCAGCGAGACTCCAAACGTCATTTAGATTATTCCCATTGTGGGGAAATGTCCTTACTGCGGAAATTCAATAAACATCATTGAAGGACCCTCAAAGCTTTCTGATCTAATATGTTACATAGATATTTCTGAAGTGTTCTTTTCCCAATTTTCTCTGTTTCTATAAGATGCTTCAAAGTTGCTCTAGAAGTTACCAGAGATATTCTGAGGCAGAACCAGCTCCCTGGATTTGCTCTTGAACTGAGAGGTGTCATTAGTAAAATGAAATCGCTACAGTTAGAAAAGAATGCTCGTTGACATTCCTTTGGTGTTAATGACTGGTGGATATATTTGAAAGTGATAATGTGCTTGGCTGTATTTATGATAAATCATTAAAGGAAAAACCACACTGGGTGGTGGCACACAGCTCAATGTACAGATCTTGTATCATAGAAATGTATACCTGAAACCTAAATGTGCCTATTAACCAATGTCACCCCAATAATTTTAATTAAAAATAGACAGAATTAAAGGGAACATAGACAATTCCACAATTATAATTGGAGATAGTAACATGTCATCTCAATAATTTGTTTAAAAAAAAAAAAAGGAAAATTGCACCAATGTGCATTTTCAAGAGCTAGATTCCTGACTAACGGACAAAGTTAGTATGCCTTAGAAGAATGGGATGGGCAATAGCTCCCTGACCTTTTGGAGGAGCTAATTTCAAACCAGCAGGTTCACAGGAGAACTAAATGCTGTTCATTTGCAGTCTAAACTTTAAATGGGTCTGAATGCCATGGTAAGAATTTATTCAGGTAATGCTGTATTGAACTATATCTGTTTTTTCCCCTGTAGTGTCTAAAGCACATTAGGCCCAAATATGTTATCCACTTTCGATTATCCCCTTGCCAGTCCGGATTAAACAAGCCATGCTATAATTTGAAAAGGCAAGAATATTACCTTAATGCAAATACACTGCTTTCTCTACTCGATTTTTAAATGAAGACTCTGGCCTTACAACTTTGGAGGAAGCTTTGGCTTTAAACGCTCAGCCTCCTCCTGTATTTCTTCAGTATAGTATCACCCTGTCTGTAGATCACAGCGTAACATACTCCTGCTATACTGGTTAACAGTGCCAGCCCATCCTCTGGAATGTTGTGATTCAGGCTGAAGAGAGCTGATTATCTGCAGTATCTTTTATAAATTCCGTGGAGACTTTTGGCTCCAACACTCAGATCAGGCCGGGACTCACCAGCCTTCAGTCATGTGAAAGTGTCTCTTGGTCTGTGTTTGCATGGACCCTGCTGTTGACCCGGGAGAAACTGTTCCTCTCCCGTCCCCATAGGACTCCTCCTTACAGCTTTCCACGGCCTCAAAGGCATTCCCGATGCTATCTGTTCACACCTTTATTTGAAAACCCTTCCCAAAATTCTGGCACCGATATTGAAGGTGGTTTGACATAATGTTTTTGCCCAGAAATTAGTAGGTATTGATATAGACATGGATAGATATATTTAACTCGAAGGTAGTTTTGAGGTTATTTATTCCTTTTTAAAGGGAGAATCATTAGCATTCACAAGTATTATCTAACAGACGCCCAGGCAGCTGTAAACTTGACTCAGGTCTGTATTTTAATAACACGATCTAACTTGAGCATCACATGAGGTCAGTAGTGGTTTAGATTTAGGTATGTGTTTCCTTCGGCTTTCTGTACCTCTGAATATCCCATGAGTCCTTGAACCACGCCCACTTTTTGGTTTGAAAAGACTATCACCCTATCTAATTTCACCTCCATGTTGAAAGCTAGCCTTGGATTATTTTTTTCTCCTCAAGGAACTAAAATAAGAAATGGGCCTATATACTCATCACCAGCAGCTTTCTCTGTAGACCCAGCAGGGAGTCTTTGCTAAGGCATATGTAATATCTAGTCAATGAAAATTAAATAAACCTATTAACTTAGCTGTATAATAAGCCCCATTGATGGAACACACACCATAAAATAATAATCATAATAAAAACAAATGAATGATGCCTTTCACGTTTGTCATTTTGTAATTTTCACTGTTCTGAGAGATGCTAATTCATTTTCCTATGGTCAGTCATAAGACACAGGGCCAGATTTACAGTCTAGATCTTGCAACTAGTAACCCTGTACCCACTTATTAAAAATTGTGATAAATAATAATCTTAAGAATAAAAACAAATAAAATAAACTATAGTGGCTAATTTCTAGCTCTTTGTGAATCTTTAAATGAGTCAAGAAAGGAATTTTAAATTGTCAGAAGTAAGCAATCAAAACATATTTATTCATTTATTAGAATGTTTCTAGCTGCTTATTCCTCATTTTAGTAATTAGTTTTTAAATATCTTAATGTTATAGTTTGAGAAAATGTCATGAAAAGGTTTTTAGTTACTGTAAATAATGGTAATATAGTATACAAGTAAGTGAAAGAGAATTAACATAAAAATTTTTTGGCAACTTAAAAACATAATTTTTTTTTTTACAAGATTAATGAGTTGATTCTTATTACCACAAATAGAAGTAGTCATATAGACTATTTTCTTTTAAAATAGAATACCTATCAAAAAGAATATATGTACCCCCTGTTCATAGCAGCACTATTTACAATAGCTAAGATCTACCAACAGCCCAAGTGTCCATCAGTAGAAGAATGGATAAAAAAGCTGTGGTACATATACACAATGGAGTACTATGCAGCTGTAAGAAAGATCTTTATCCTTTGAGACGACATGGAGGGACCTGGAAAGTATTATCCTAAGCAAAACAAGCCAAACAGAGAAAGACAAGTATCATATGATCTCACTTATTTGTGGAATATAATGAACATAACAGTCTGAGGGATGGGGTAGTCCCAGAGATGTGGAAGTGGGGTGCAGACTGACAATCCCCAAAAGAGGGGGTGGTGGGAAAGCGTTAAACCACAGAACTTATATGCATGTATGCATGAACAATGGACATGGACAACAAAGCTGGGGACAGGGCGGGGAGGGAGGGGAATCAGTGGGGGATAAAGGAGAAACATCTGTAACAAAAATAAATTAATTAATTAAAAAAATAAAATAAAATAGAATACCTACTCTACACTTTAAAGGGGAGATTAACAAATGAAAATATTCATTACTTCAATTTAAAATAAAACTATTTGATGAATAAACTTCTAAAGACATATTAGCTTAGTATTCTTTTTCAGATTATTTTAATTGTATTGAAACTGTTTACTAATCTATTACAGTGAAACCCAGTATACATTCTAAATACATTTTAAAAATGAATGTTTTGTGATAAAAGGGGGTAAACCAGTATCTGATAGGAGGTTGAATTGTTATATTTTTCCAAGATCTTTTGCATAGTTGAGTTTTTTTCTTGAATAAGGAAATCTTAAGGAGAGTGAAAGCAAATTATTTCCCTTCTATCCTCATGCTTAAATAATATGTTACATGCAAAATATTATTCTAAAAAAGATTATTTTGTCATAAATAAGAAATTTATTTTTATTTATACTAATTTTTTATTTTTTTCTACTAAATCATTGCAAAGACTGTCAACCTTTTAACAGTAGTATTAGTATTAATTTTTCTAACCATGCATGACTCATTTGACCCCACAGTAGCTGTAGCTTGCTTGCTTTGTTTTTTCCCTGAAATTTAAAAAAAAAGAAAAAATAGTGTAGAAAAAATCACAATGAACATTTGCTCTACATAGCAAGACAGCAGAACAACTTTAGCCCTGATAAATTGTTGACATTTTACTATTTCACACATGGATGTTGGAGATACATACATAGATGACTTCTCTGAACTTTCTATGTTGAACGTGCACTGTGGTTAAACGACTTGTTTTTCCCCTGCCTGCTCTTTGAAGAAGTCAATTAGGAGTAATGGGAAACAAGGGGTAGGCAAAACATTGCAGTGCAGTGTTATTTCCATCTGTCCGGGAATATTTCAGCCAAAAGTTTATTTGGGGGAAAAAAAAAGCCATAACAGTTTCACACACAAAAACCACAAATACTTTGGCTGCAAATTATTCTGCAGTGTTGTTGCTGTGTTGTTGCCGTGTCTGTTCTCGTGTGTAAAGCTGCCACCCACCCATGCATGTGTTTGCAGATCCTCGTCTGTGTGCTTGTTCATGAACTAGCTCCTCCTCCACCCGGTGCAGGTCAAGTTCAATCAGCAGAGCAAGGATTGATGGGTATGACTGTTAGCTGGAAAGCCCTTCCTCACTTCCAAGTCTTCCTTTCAGACTGGCTCTTCTGCTGAAATTTCTCAGTGGGATGAAGAGTTCAGTCTCTTATACGTCACCTGGCTTTTTATGTGCCCTTGATGGTTCTTGGGAAAATAACTTAATATTTTTTTATCTCAGTTTTTCTATATTGGAAAAGGAAACTATTGGTGTGAATCACTTTCTTAACTGTGAGATGATTTGTCTTAGTTCTTGACAAATGGCCAGGTAGACATTACAGTCTCTATTCCCATCATCCCAGAATTTTTGGTGGGAAAAAATGCAAAAAGTAGCACCATTTAATGGAACAAAATATCAACAATAAAAGAAACTCTCAGAGAAAGTAAAGTATAATTTAAAATCAGCATTGTCCTAAGGTGGCTGAAATGTGCAATTTCTCCATTTTGCCTTTTAACTGACAGTATACCCATAATTCTTGGTGATTATTATTTTTCTCTAAAGTTAATTTCTGGGCCATTGGTGACTGCACAATCTCTTATTCTAAATTGTTGTCTTAACGACACTCTTTAAAAATATAATGTTGAAGGCTCATAATATTGAAGATGACTCCAGGATGAACCCCGAGTTTGCAGACCGAATAAAACAGCTTGATAAAGAGGCATCTTACTATCGCGACGAGTGTGGCAAGGCCCAAGCAGAAGTCGACCGTCTGCTGGAGATCCTCAAGGAGGTGGAGAACGAAAAGAATGACAAGGACAAGAAGATTGCGGAACTTGAGAGGTAAATTTTGCAGTCATGCTGTGAATTGTCAACAGTGAGTGACCACCAATTGCTTAGTTACCCATCTCTGGTCACAGTGGATTCAGAATGCACGCTCGCATTTCAAGTTGGAACCAGTGAGGTATGAGGAATGTGGCCTGTTAGGGATGATGCTGTGTTTCTATGGGATACTCAGAAGGCAGCTGGCTTCTCTGTTGATGGCTGATGTCATTCTGAAGTGTTTAAGAAAATAATGGTCTGGCATTGGTGCCAGCAAAGTATGTAAGAAATTAAGGCTTTGACCACCTGAAGCCTCAGTTTTTTTTCCCATCAAAGACACACATTTGTGGTTTAGGTTTGTCTCAAGCAAAGAATATGGAAGATTATACAGTAGTTGGGAATCTGTTCAAGACTGGGGAAAGGAAGAGGGGTTCCCATCCTTCCAGTGTTCTCTGGCACACCACTATACATTCATCTTGGGATTTACCTTTTAAGAGGACTTTATGGCATTTGATAAATAAATACATTGGGATAGGGTCTAAGGCAGGCCTACCTGATAACAAATTCTCTCGAAAAACAAAGAAGGTTATATCAGGGTGCTAGAGTATTTAGATTTTGAGATAAATCATATCCGTCTTGTATTTATGTATAGTAAGGGCTCTAAAAATAAGCTTTCTATCAGTGCTTCTTCCTGCATGTCATAGAAGGAAAGAATTTATGAATAATTTTACGGAACTCTATAACCTTTCAGGATTCCTTATTGGTTCAGTAATAAGGAAGAATTTGTCTTTCTTAGATTCAGTACATATGGAAGAGATCAGCAAATTTTGAATAAATCAGTGCATGTTTGCCAGCCCTGATCAAAACACTTGTGAGGGCCTAGAGGACTTCAGGACATATGCAGACTAGCTCTCTATGGTGTTGTGGGAAGATCATGGGTTTTAGCACGAGAAAGACCTGGGTTCAGATTTTGCCTCTGCTTCATGTCAGATGTGTGACCTTGAATCTTGTTAGAAGTGAATCTCTAACAACCCATGATTGTACTTTGCAGGTACCAACACCAATGTAAGGTGGGATGGTTATATCATTATGAAAAGTTGAATGTTAAAATAAGTAAATTCTCAATGTTCTGTGGTTCTGTATTAAATGGATAGATTAGTTCTCCATAAAATTTTGACATTTTTAAATACAGTATTTAATATAGTCAAACTCTCAATCAATGAATACCTATTTAAAAATCTTAGCATTAGTTGGATAATAATTTAATTTGTATTGAGACAAATTTTAGCGATTAAACCAACAATTTACTTTCCTGAGTTAAGTGTACAAATTTAAAGACTTCAAGGAGTTTCATTTTAATTTTAAAATGTGGGACCGTTCTGCCAGTCTACCGGTTCTTAAAAACACTGCTAGTTTTAAATATATCTATATGACTATTTTGGAACTATATTTTAGGATTAAAATGTTTCTTCAAAAGCTATTATGAGATCACAGAGAAGTTATGATCATGTCTCTTCTCTTGGTGGAAAAAATGAGATCCTGAGAGTTTGAACAGCCTTCTGGATTGACCCTGTGTTCAGAGACAGACAAAACTGTATTATAGGTTTCCTAACTCCCGGTCCACTGTTCTGAGAAGCAGTGAACCATTGAGAAGATGCCTTAGATAGTGATACTGATGACATTCATAATAGTAATTCGAATTATAATGGTAAGTTATGGATAGTTTATGCTAACAGTGTATCAGATGCTCATCTAAACACTGGCCCTGCCGTACTATATACCATTTAATCTTACCCACAACACATCCCTATCTTCTAGATGAGAAAACAATGACTTTATACAAATTAAGTATCTTCTTCAAGATGGCAGAGCTGATAAGAGTCAAAGTCTGGATTTGCACCCAGGTCTGACTCAAGAGTGACTGTGTGTAGCACCGAAGAGTCACTCCGCCAGCTGAATGGCATTGCAGCAGGGACACGGGACAGCTGCCCCATCTCTGTTAGCTTTCATGAGAGAAAGTGATGTGCCCACATTTAGAAACCACTTTACTGAACCAAACCAGCTCTCCAGAACTGTAACTGAAAATCAGGATCAGCTACTATAAATATTTGCATAAAATAGCATAAATTGTGTAGTGGGACAAACAGGTCTTAGCTGGACGCTCTTGCCATTAAATCATCAAGAATATTCACATTTTTATTTCCTCAATATGGAAGGCATTAAAACAACAGTGATTTTACAGGCATTTATCTTTATGTACTTTCTGCACATTTTCTTTATCTCTGCCTGTGCCTCCCCTTGAAGCTGATGCCTCCCAGGCACTGTAATTCATAAAACGTGTGCTGGGACTTGACTCTGTCCCAGCCTCTGACGGCCTGTGTCTTGGGTCCAGCAGCAGAACACAGTCTGGGAAATGTCTGAGCCCCAGGCCCCTAAGGAGTTGGGGATGGAGATCAAGAGGGGAAATTTCTTGGGAAAAGGAGAGCGCAGCCTTGGCCTGCCTTTCTGAAGCCTTATCTGCGGGGCTACGTGTACATGCCGACAAAGCATCTTCCTCGAGTCGTCAGGCAGCCCTTTTAGATTGCACAGTATCTCCGTTTGCTGGCTCAAACTGCAAAGTCCATACCTCATAATGTTGGGAACTAAAGACTTCTTAGCAATGTGACATATATCTCCATTTTGGAGTCATGGAGGAGTGTTTGCAATTAAGTTTGTGATTTTGAAAACCAAAAAATTGAGCTTGAAATAAATTTGTGGTCTCTGGTCTGTAATGTGACCTACCAGACTGAAAAGACCTCTTTTTAAAAGCAGCTAGTATTCTAAAATATTCCAGAACTTCAGTCATGTGCAACAAGAGGTATGGGGTTAGGAATAACTCAAACGACTCTGACACTGGCCTGTTTCTCTCTCCGAGGGCAACTCGTGTTTGCTTTCTATTCCGTTAATCTTCCCATTTTTTATTTTGTCTATAATGTATACATTCCAACTAGCATATGCCTGGCACTTACATGGGTGCATTTACCTCTTAAATTCCACATGAATGATGTTTTTCATCAGCCATTAAAGATTTTGCTTTTCAAAGTGCATGTTGCTCCAGTGTGGTCCCCATGTGCACGTCTGCAAACCCAGGCACTTGATCCTGATGGTGCAGCAGGGAGCTCCTGCCTGGGACTGCGGGTGGCTCTGGGGAAGTTTGGCACAAGCCGAGTGGGGAGCCTTGAGCAAGTCCCGGAGAATTGGTCCAAATCAAGCCAATGTCTTGATTCAGTCACCGATACTAGATATCACACAGGCTACACAATCTAGTAGCTAATTAAACATCAGAGAGTGAAATATGTGGTCTTTCTGTATCAGTGCCCATCAGTGTCTTCGAGTTTTATTTGGAGTTTCAGAATTAATCCTTTGGTGCCTTAAGGGAAAGAGAGAGGTGAACACAGGCTGTCAAACAAGGACGCTGCCAGGTGATTCCTGGCATCCGACTCATAGGAAGGAATCAGGCAGCTGACATTTCATGTAATTATCTTACACGTGTCAGGGTTTGTCGGTATGTGTCTGAAGGACAGGGAATGACCAAGCCCTCAGTGACACCCCTCGCCACTGTGGAGAGGAGGGTGGCTCCCTCGGGGTTCTGCTTCTGAGATACAACATCAGAACAGAAAACGAGGCAGCTCTTCATTGTGTGAATTGGGACTAAGGCCACCAGACGTTTGGACGTCGAGGAATCACTTCAGATGCTTGCAACTACCTTACCTAAGGTTGAGAAGCAGCCGATTCTTTTCTTCTGAATGTGTTGAATAATGTGCTGGCGTGATTTCTTTGATGCCTTTCAGAACTCTTTTCACAGAATGTAAACTCAAACTTTATTTTTAAAAAATCTGTGATCATACGTTCTAGAAGTCTCATGGTACAGCAGAGACTTGATACTAGTGTTACTTGTTTTTAGATAAACTTGTCTTGCTAAGTAATTTCCACTCATGCTTGTTCATATAGTTGATGGAATTTATTTAAAATAAGTGGCAGGTGGTTTTACACCATCCCTAGCACACTTTGGGGGAAGGTCATGGATATTGTGGGTCCTTTGAGAATTTGATCGAAACTAGGAACGCTTAGAAAAGGCAACTAAATCTTACATGTTTGCTTGCCATTTCAGTGTAGCATTTCCTAAAGCTTGGCCATGAATCTCAGCTTGAAACACCTCTCGTCCAGGAGGATCTGAAACAGCAGCTGGGGCCAGCATCCCCAGCGTCCCTGCAGTGACCATGGCCTGACCCAACTCTTACTTTTGATCAGTTGTGTGTTCATGATTACAAAACACTTTGCAGGGATTTCAGTTACAAGGACTCACTGGATCAATGCTTTCGCCATGTGTTTAATCTTGAATTTGCTCTTTGATTTTTATCATGATAGTCAACGCTGTTTTGATTTGAAATATTCTTGTTGAAGCTTTCTCGTGAGGATTTGTTTTGTTTTTCCTTCCTGTGTAAAATGCTTAAAACTACTTCTTAGCAGTATGGAATGGTGGGGTCCCACTGAGGAGATAGCTGGTGAAGTATTTGTGTATTCATGTTGGTTTTTGCAGATGGTATGGTGTTTTACAGGTTAACATCATGAACATCCACTGTGTGCTCCTGAGGTAGCCTGAAGGAGATCATGGTGTTTTTTTCTTTTAATTTTTGCTTGGCATTAGAGACTTTATTCTTTTGACTGATCAGAAGGACATGTTAAATATTTATTGTACAAATAAGTTATCAAGCATCTGGTTCTACATTTTCAGTGATACAGTACGATTCTCATTTTCACAACTGAAAAAAATTACTTTCAGCTTTGGAAGTGACTCTGTCCTTTCTCGGGAGGCTGATGGGGAGATGGCCCCTCCCTATAGCCCTTCTCATGGTGTCTTTGATCATTTTGAGGTACAGTGCTCTGCGAGCACCTCAAATGGAACTCTTTGAACAGAAAGCCAAGTCGCTCAGCTTCTCTTGGTTCTCAGGAAGGAAGGAAAAATATCTCATGGGATAGAACCATCCAACTTACTGGTTCAAATACAATCTATCTGATATCAATGCTTACCGCCAGCTCTAATACCCTGGTAATTTCCACTTTATATTATTAAATAATAAAATTTTATAAGCACACCGATAGGAACTTTATAAACACTCCTCCAGAAAAGGGCGAGTTCGGCCACCGGGTTGCCAGAGCACACGTTGGCTCACATAAGTGCTTGTTGTTACTATGTGTGTGAGAGCAGGTGCTGGGGGCTTAGGTACGATATTTAATATAACAGCGTACAGTGTGTGCCCAGGACTTTTTTGGGGTGATATCTGATAAAAGTTGCTTTATTGTCCTTCATTTGGTTATAAAGCCTACTAATATGACATCTGTTGGCTGTATGTTTAAAACTAATGCGTTTCCTTCCTTTTATTCTTTTTTGCTGTCCCCTTTTCTTTCTGCTTATCCTCCAAACTGCTGCTTTCACCCTTGCTCCAATCAGCTTGACTTTCAGGTTAGTACTTTCAGTTTTTCTTCTAACTGCCTTTCTCTCCGAAGCGCGATTGATTGCTTGCACTTGTTCAACAAGCACATTTCTGAAATGTTTTCCTCTGGCCACCACATTTTTTTTTTTTTTTTTTTAATTTCATCCCATGCCTAGGGAAGGTTTATTTTATGAGAACGCCTGTATAAGTGGGAAAAGGCAAAGAAGAAGATGGAAATAAATCACTGTGGGATTATTTGCTACATTCTGTTCCTGGATTATAAAATCAATAAGAGAAATCATCAGGAAAACTCCCTGGTGCAGAATGGACTGCATGGTGATAAAACATGGAGCAGTGGAAAAACCGAAACGCAGGATGCTAAATTTAACCCCGGAGAACAAAAGATTTGCCCGTGACACAGCAACTTAAAAGCTAAATTTAATAGTGCAAACCGTTCAGACTTTTCGCTTAATAAATCACTGTGTTTTGAAAGATTTATAATACTTTCTTTAAAAAGTCACTTTTGAAAATTATCAGTGTGTTAGTAACATATTGTACACATATGTTATTTCCTGTCATTGTTTTGGTTTTTAACTTTTTAACTTTATTTTTATTAGCCACAACACATACTTTAATTACCTAGGGCATAGCATATGGACCCAAATGTAAAACTAGATTCAGTGTGGACGGTGTGCACCCCAACATTAAGAAGCGAAATGGACATTTTCTTTGAAAACACCTCCCAGGTTTGATTCCTCTAAGATAGAGGGCCCATGTCAGTAACTGGTTCTCCTCAAAGCGAAGCGAAACATCTCTGTTTGATAGTATGTAGGAATATCTAGTGATTTCTTTATCATTGAATCAATGAGTTTACTAAAAGATGCTCATTGTATGATTTGGGCTACCTAGACTTAAAAAAAAAAAGACTCACATTAAATTGGTAGCCAATGTAGTTGCTCTTTTGAGAGGCAAACTATATTATTTTCTTCTCTTTATTCAGGGTCTGTACCCCTTTATCCTGTCCACTGCTCATCACCAAAGCACCAGACCAATGCATTTACACCCACAGCAAACAATTTCAAAACGAGGCCTCCTGCCCACACACCAATTTTGTCCCACCACCCGCTCCCAACCCCTATGCTCATAGTCCTTGAAAATGAAACCCCTTGTCTGCTCTTCCCACACACCACAGGGGGTGGGCCACAGAAACTACCTTGACCTTCATCACACTGAAGGAAGCCGGTTTGCCATAGTCCCCTAAATAGAGATCTAAACAGACACTAAAAGCCCTGTAGAACTTCTCTCACCCAAAACCTAATGACTGTTGACTCACTTTCTAGGGCCTCTCTTTGCAGAAACAGACATCATAATGCAGAGGGGGGAGAAGGGCCGTGGCCACATGGCATCCAAACTTTTCCTCCAAGTTTTGGATCCACTCATTGAACGAAGCTTTAAGCTTTTCTCCTTGCCTGTCTTTTTCGTTTTCTCTCTCCTTTGCCTTCCCTTTGCTACCCCTAAGCTGCACCTGTTGATATTGAAGCCCTTGAGACCAGGGACCCCTTTTGCTCCAACATATCAGGCTTCCTGCCTGAGCCTTCAGAGGTTGTCCACAGGCATTCTGCCGTGGGGTGGTGGTTGTTTTCCCTCCAGCAACTGTACTGTGCAGTATTTAGGTATTTCCTATTTCATGGTGAATGAACGCTGGCTCTCAGAAGACAGGATGCAGGGTGAGGGCTGGGGGAGGTTGTAGGTTATAGGGGATGCTCTGGGAGGCCAAGTGGGCTGAGTAGGTTTGGTTAAATGTTCAGGCCAAGCCTCACTGGGTGACTGACTGTATGTAGTGGTCCAATCAAGATTCAGATCATTTCAATATCATTTCACCCCCTGCCCCAGATGACCGTGATAGAGAAAATGTACCATTCTTGTAAACAGTCTCGAGTTTTATTTTTAGTGTAGGGGGAATTGGCGGCCCTGCTCTCCCGGAAACAGAGAAGTCTGTGGAGTCTTGGAAGCTTTCTTGAGCTTTGACAAGTTTCCAGAGTTCACTCTGCTTTCTTTCCAACCACTTCCAGGTTTACCAGTTAAAATAAAATGAAGTGTAACGATGGATGAATACGGGACCTCTGGCCCGTGTGCTTTCTTTACATGGTTTGCAACTAAGATCCGTATATTGGTGTGTGCATATATACGCAGATGTTTTTGCCCATATATGTAGATGTGTATATGCGTTTATCGTGTATTTAAAAAACAATGTCTGATTTTTCTTACCGTAGAAGTCTGTAGTCTGCCCAGCACCTCCCCATCGCCCAAGCTGAAGTTTGCAAACATCATTAGCTCTCGGGTTTTCTATGGGCAGTGGACTCCATGGGAAATTCTCCCCTCCAACTACTATTTTTAAATGGCCTCATTTTCTTTTCAAATTTGATGTAGACTCTCATGTTTAAATTTGGGTGGACAGATATTAAGTCTTGGGTTTGGTAAAATGAAAATGTCACATTCTGAACCTGTTCAGATTCTCACTGCGGAAAGCTCCACTCCAGTCCGGGATCCCTGCACGCAGACGGGCGGGAAGCCGGAGAGGGAGAACCGGACCCCTGCGCTGCTCTCGGGGGGAGCGTGCATGTGAAATGTGCTCATTTCTAGGAACTTTTTGTGAGATTAGTGTGCAGCTTATGACAAATGAAGTTATCTAGATAAATATGTGCAGCACTTGACCAAAAAAAGAAAAAGTATCCTTTGGGAATCGGTTCAAAATCCTGTCAGAGAATCAACCAAGTAAAACCAGAAGGCTGGGCCTCTCCGGGCTCGCTCATCCTTCGTTTTGCTTCGGATCCTGGGTCAGCTGCTCCCTTGTTTGTGCCTCAGTCTCCCCTCTTGGAGAGGAAGGAGCTGTCTCTGGGGCCGGTCTCCCGGGATCCGCTCTGCACGTGTCCGACAGGGGGATAGGTTGGTGAAGGGCCTGGCGCATCTCCCCAGTGGGCAGGCCTGGCTGACGGCTGGCACCTGGCAGCAAGCATGAGCTCATTGTTACAGAGTCACTTCAAACACTTCTACCAAAATAAACTCTTTGTGATGCTTCCCCAAAGCTGAGCTCTGCGCTCTCAATCCCTTATTCTTCTAGCAAAAGATGAAGTCACTCCTCCCGGACCTCAGAGGCTGCTGCCCAAAGATGTAATGAAAACCATCTTGCCCAGAACGTCCCCTTGCTGTCCTGCAATTTGCTCTTTGTACAGTCTGTTCTTGGCCCTATTTTCTTCACAAATACGGAGTGAGTACCCACTGTGTGCGAGGCTGAGCACTACATGCTGGCTTGGCATTTCCAAAAACCAGCTAATGAAGAAATCATCAGACTGTCTAAGAAATGCTGCACAGTATGTTCTTCTTGTGTGTTCACAATGCACACGGATGCTACTGCTTCGAGAACAGCAGAAGTAGCCGTAGCAGTAATTACAACGAGCGTTAGCTAAGGGCCAGCCCTGAATCAATTGCTTTTTACGTAGCAGTTACTTCTAAAGGCAATATATGAGGTTGGGATGTCATTTCTCCCACATTAGAGAAGAGGAAACTGGAGTTCATGCAAGTTAAACATTTTGCTCAGGTTAGTACAGCGTGGACGTACTTTGCCCCCACAGATTGAACCTTTTGCTGCTTCAGCTCCAGTTGCAGAGTCAAGTGTCTACAAAGCCTGTGCTGTTGTGTTCGGTCTGCATTTCCCCAGTGTGGTGTTCACAGAATAGACTCCACGAATCACTTGGAGGAGGTGCCTGGGATTCATGGCTGTCCCCTGCCCGCTCCCAGGCTGAGCTGGTCTCTTGCACACAGATCCCGTCCCTCCAGGGCCGGCTCTGCTGTCCCGTCCAATACCACGCCTCCTCTGATGCCCGGGAGGAGCAATCTCTCCCTTCCTCGGTATCCTCAGCTCTCTCACCTTTCTCGGCATGCCATCCTCTCCCTCCGATGGCGGCAGCCGGGGTAGCATGTCTCCTCGCAGGCTGCAGCCTCCTGAGTCCCAGGGGCCTCTAGATGCAGTGTCGTGCCGCACCCTGGAGGTGCCAGTCATACTCCTGCATGCTGTTGAACACATGCCTATTGAAGAAAGGCACCTGCCTTAGCTCCTGCCACCCCTGCCACCCTTTATTTGGTCCCCGCTGAGATTTGTTGGTGGGCTCTTTCTGGAGGCTGAGTTCACCCCATTGGCTGGCTTATCTAGCTCCAGGTGGGAAGCCTTAAGAAAAGATCTGATTGGTTTCCTGGTAAGTGGGATGCTTAAAAATTCAAGAAAAATAAAACACAAATAAAAGGAGAAATGAAAAGATCTCCTTCTGAGGTTACCTCATTTTCTCCCTCTCTTTCTTCCCTCCTTTCTTCCTCTCCCCTTCCTCCTTCCCTTCTTACGTCTCTCCCTCCCTCCTTTGCTCCCTCCCTCCTTCCTTTCTTCTCTCTCTCCCTCCCCCCCTTCCCTCCTTCCTCACTATGCACTGAAGTCCTTCTCCATGCCAGGGTCTGTGCTGGGTGTTGGGGATAGAGTAGTAAAAAGACATGGCCTCTCCCCTCACTGAATTCAAAGACCAACACTTCCTATAAGGAAGGATTTGGCCACTAAGAAAAATAGTTTTTCCCATTTATACTAATAACTGGAAAAACTAGGTTTCAGGTGTTTTTGAAAACTCCTTTTCCTGTTGGGGTTGAGGGGTTATCCACAGGTCAGACAATCATTTCCCTCTTTAAAGCTGCCTTATACTAATGCTGACATTTCTGGTGAAGTGTCAGAAAATTTTATGCCCAAGCAGAACTGGTAGAAAGCCAGAAATCAGTTGATTTTGCTTTGGGTGCAAATATTTTATTGGGGATGGAAAAAAGTTGTTTTCCCTGATTTACAGCTCCTGCAAACATAAAGTGGGTTCTATATTTAGAACTGGTTTTGAACCTTTGAGGTATAGCCAGGGGTTGGTTCTTGCACCTTCCCGACCTGGCCTTGGTGGGACTTGCCATGGCTAACATTTTGCTGAGGCAGCTCCAGTTGGTGGAA